CCTAAATGATGTAAAGACTTTAAGAGAACAGTAGATTTTTATGACTGACAATTAAGTACTCTTTCTTAAAGCCTTTTAGGAAAAAAAATTACAAAAAAACCTTCTCATTTTCCTTTTGTTTCTTGCTGTCGCAATAGCTCTCTGTAGGCTTGTGTAGGCTTTGTACTAGTGCACAAAAAAAGACAACAGGATCTCAGATAAAGAAACTGCTGAAATATTCCTGGAAAAAAAGGATTCAAGGGTCATTGTTTACTGAAGTCTAGTAGAATTTCCATGAAGATTTATGAGCTCAGGCAAGAAACTAGTCCTCCACTCTGTTGCTGGTGGAATCATGGACGCTTTTAAAGACCCTGTTGATTCATGTTAATTTTGGTGTTTGTTCTTTAGCTCACTGTAGTTTCAAGTAGTGTGCTAGAACTATTAAAGCTGAATTACTTTCTTTTTCTGACAAAAAGATTTTTCTTATACCCCCTTCCTCAATACTTTTGATGATTTTAATTTTTAAAAAACAATTGATGTTTTTAATTATTGTAATTGCTGAAAAGTAGTAAGTGAAACAAATTCTTGTGTATGTTACCTGCTTGTCAAAGCTTGTCTGAGGGTAGTTACATGTGTTTAAGGCATTCACAGAACTGAGATATTTGTTTTCATTTTTACCCGTAAACAAGGGAGAGATTTTATTTATTTTTCCACAGAACAGCAGAGGAAGGTTCAGGTCCCTATCCCCCATTGCCTTTAGAGTGGTTCTCCTGTCCCTGAAGGGATTCAGCATATGCTCGAACAGATGTCGGTTGTTCTATACTGCTTGTAAAACAAGAAGAGCAACCAAAAAACCCCCTCCCAATTCAGGGAGTTTGCACTAATCTCTTCAGCGAGGTTGGCTATTAGGATGTTATAGCCCTTGTCCTGAAATGGTGGGAGGGTGTCAGGAAAGCCTGGTAGTCCCTGCAGATTAATTCTTGGGGACAGTGAGATCTGAGTCAAAACCTCTTCAAATGGATGAAACACCTCCCAGTGATTTTAGTGGTTTTTCATCAGGCAAGTCCTGCTGGTGTATTTGTGCAGGGTCCCTTCCAACTCAGCATATTCTGTGATGATGGCTGTGCTGCTCCATCCTAGTAACATACGAAGATGTGCGCTCATCATGAGAAAAGGCCTGGAGAAAGCTGTGCTCACAGAAACCAGTAGCGCTCAGTTGCTGCTGCTCTTCGCTCTTTCTTAATGGATAGACATGATGGCAGCAGCTACCTTTATCCAGGGTTGAATAGGTTGGGAATACCTCATCTGGCATCTTGTCTGGATATGCTGTGCTAACATAGTCCAAGTGTGCCACATTTCCTGCGTGGATGTATGCTTCTCTTCAAAACTGTGCTTCAAATTCAGAAAAGTGGTTCAAAAGAGTAATTCAGATAGCAGATCAATGTCAAATAGCAAACCACAGTCCTTTGCGTGCATTGTGGCTACATTGCTTGAATCGGTTCTCCCATTTTCTTCCCTGAATTTTTGTCCATTTGCTGACAGGGATACACTTGCCATGTCACAGCCTGTCACATGGGCTGACCCAGTGGCAGGCAACTAGCTTTTCCCCTCTTTAGTGTCCCACACCTTTTATTGCTTAGGGAGGTTTGTATAGTGTGTCAGTTACAATTCACGTTGAGTAATTTATATGCTGAATTTTAGAAGGTTAATGCTTTTCATGTTTGTCTCTTGACTCTTTTGGAATGCTTTCCTTTTTACTGTTGGAAAACTCTTGAGTGTATTATCTCAAGAGGCATATAAAACAGCATCAGTGATGTCAAGAGCATCTGATTCGGGCAATCCTGAGTGCAGATACAGTACAGAGATATCTCAGTTTTCATTGGGAATCTAGAAGAAATGAGGTCTTGGAGAAATCCAGGCAGAGCAAAAGATCATGGAAGACTGAGCAGGAATCTAGAAGAAACAGGGACTGAGAGAAATAAGGACTGCAATTACAGATGGGCAGTGGTAGAAGCCCTCTTTGCCATTGCAGCATAAAACAGTGATTTGAAAAGCACATAATACCATTGCTAACAAAGAAGAAGAAATCTCACTTTAGAAATAGAAGTGGGAAAGATTCCTCCTACAGCAGGCACAAAGTTTTCATCTTCCCACTCATACCACTGCTTCAACAGTATGCAGCTCTGCTTGCATCCTGGCAGTTTGTATCCCGGTTGAGTTAGTTGGGAGACTGGAAGTCGCAGCAGAGGGATATGCAACTGCTGAACCCCTGCCGATGGCAGCATGCTCCACAGCATGAGTCTGAAAGCTTGAGCCTTATGCTTTCCCTGTCTTGAGGGGGGGGAAGGGTTTGTGAAGAAATTATTTAAAATGTTAAAAAAAGTAAATAAAAATTGTCAGTGCCTATTTATTGGATGAGCAACTTAAAACATACTCATCCAAGGCACCTGTAACCTAAGCAGCCAAAGTCCACTTGAGCTGGGGCTGAATTTGGCCCATTGTCTATGCTTCACACCCACAGTACAAATAAAAGCTGCAGCCTCTTAGAGTTTGGTGGGAGGGAGGAGGTGGGAGAGCCACTGGAGTGTGATGTTGCATTGACACTTGATGTGCATTCCTTGAAAACCTGTGCTTCTCACTACTGGTGGATATAGCAGTATGACAAGTCATTGGGAAAGAGGATGCAGTTTGTTAGAAGTGGAACATTATAATGAATATATTATTATCTTTATGGAAGGATTATGGAGCAATGCTGACTTCTGATTAAGGGATGTGGAAAAAGCAGTGTTACCCTGAAAATTTGTATGGGATCTTGAAAAACTAAATCATCAGCAGGAGTTAAATTCAAAGGGGTCATTTTACTTCAGAATGATGTTTACTTTCAACTATTCTTTAAATAACTTGGGGCTGCGTCCTTCTGTAGTAGAAACAGCAAAGTAGACTAAAGGACTTCTGCTATCACTTAAATCTGGCAAATAAACTATACAAAAATAATATATCTTTGCTACTTGAATAACAATATTTACATTTCACTTTCCTCCGGAAGGAATCTATGGACATGTTTAAGTGGTGTGCAAGAGTCTCTCTCGTCTTCACTAAACAGCAGCTAGCTCTGCCATAGAGGCAAGTTGCTGTTTAACATTGCAAGGCTGCAGTTTGAAACAGCTTAAGACAAATAGTCTAAAATATGAAATCCGAATAATATGGCATATGAAAGAGTCATTTAAACCTGCAGAAGTTATTTATGAAATTGGAGTTCAGCTAGAGCTAGTAACAACTGTGGAGTTCTATTAAGTGCAACTGAGTCTTCATAATTCTCAAACATCCAGGATTTTCTCTGCTTCCTCTCACTGGCATAGTATGTTTTCAAAAGTATTACTGATGCACGGGGCATATATCTGACCAAGAGTGACTTCATTTCGGCTTGAACCCTGTTCAAAACCAAATTTAGTTAAATAGGGAGAAGCAATGTTATTTCAGCGTAAGTATGCTCATATGGTGACTGTATTGGTATGTCAGTTTAATTTGAAGCATAACGTAAAACTTTCTTGGGAAGACAAATCCTTAAAAGAAAGATCGCTTGTGTCTGTGAGTTCACATGTCCTCTTAATACATTCTAAGATAGCTGCAGAGTTTTGTCCTCACATGGTGACCAGTGTTGCTAGAGGATACTTTATAAAAAATGGTTTAAGTGAACAAGTTTGGGGAAGTGTAGCCAGGTCAGAGTGGGATCTGGAGAGCAACATTTTGCCTGTGTATCGCCTGCAATTTCACTTTTTCTGTTTTTCACTTCTACAGAAGTACAGTGTAGAAGACAATAAAAATTAGGTATCCTAAGCACCTAAATCGTCAGATCAGTATTCATAATGCATGAATAGACATGGTTGTTTTGAATGGGGATTTCTCAGGTGATGAGCAAGTACCTAAACTTATTTTCAGTGACATCAATGCCTCCCATTTATTTTGGTGAATTCCAGCTAGGCCACTGATAAGCACTTCTGTAAATTCAGCCTAATCCCCAGCTATACTTGATCTCAACAAAAACCCCTTAGCACAAAATTGTCATGCAAGAGTATCGTGCAGCTCCATGTTTCTTCTCCAGCAGAGTATCATGTTCTGGTGAATAAGGCTGCTACCCTTGTCTGTGAAGCACTTTGGGATTCCTCAGAGTGTAACGTGAACACTGGTGGGCTGTGGTTCTCTCCCACCTGCATTTGAGTTTCAGAGCATGAGATGTTTTCACTTTCTACTTTTTTTTCCTTTCTGCTTTTGTCACAGAGCACTCAGCTGCTCTTTGTAAGCAGCTGTTCTGTTTCCCTGTCTGCCTGCAGTACCCAAACAGCTGCACCCTGTGTACGCCAAAGGTTGCCAGAGCAATGCCCAGCTTTGTTAAAAAGTAACAGGATTGGGAAAGAGGGGAGGGAGCAGGAAAATTTGTGACCTGCAGGACATCCTACAGCACACGGTCAGTGGGTGCTGAGGGACCTGGGTGAGTTCTGTGTCCGACTAGAGATACGTTTTCTATGCATCTGTCTCAGTAAGGCTTACCTGCTGACTTGGAGAAAGCCGTTAATCATAAGGTGATGGTGAAGTTCTCTGGGAAAGGAAGTGTTGCTGACAGTGGCAAGCAGCTTATGTGCATGTCTCATGGAAACTTAAATGTACGTATGTGTGCGTGTGTGTGTTCGTTCAACATCTGCTGTCTGCATACTGTGTGACTCAGACACAGAGAGAGTGAGGTGTGGCTAAGAACAGGCCTGTGACATGCAGTATGACTTTTTTTTTTCTTTCTTACAAATAGCTTTGTTGTGCATGGTAGGGCGTTATCTTTATTTGTTCATTCTTGGGTTTGTGTGCATATTTTTCCAGCAGTGATCATAGTGTTTGCTTTGTGGTTCCGCCTTTGAGCACTTAAAATTAGTGAGGAACAATTCAATGTGCATGAAGCTGTGTGATACATTTATGGCATGTCAGGATTTCAGCTTCTGCCCAACGTAATGTTTCTTTTCTTTGATTTCCAGAAAAAGGCATGGCATACAATTAAAACCATGGTTAACTTACCAGTCATCAGCCCCTTCAAGAAACGCTACTCATGGGTGCAGCTGGCTGGGCATACAGGTGAGATGCATATCTTCGATGCGTTTGTCTCTGGACTGAGGATGGCAGCAGTGAGGAAAACAGTGTTTCTCTGTTTCCTGCAGGTAAAAAGGAAGCAGCCAATATCACATAAATCTGTGAACTAGCACATCTTTCAGTTGTGGTGGGGATAGGGAAGAGGGAGTGATACACCTGAATAATGAGATGAGCAAGGAAGCAATGATGAGACTCTGGGGAAGGGCCAGGCTCCCGATTCCTCCTTACAAGGTGATATGTGTAAAATACATGTTAGAGGGAAACAAGAAGGAATGGGGAGTTAAAGCCCTAATCCATCTGTTGCCGTTGGTTGTGGGATGAGATCATTTTTCTTGACTGAGTAGCCAATAGTTAGTTCTCTAGTGGGAAGGATTACTGTTCATGTCTGTCAGTGCTTCAGCCCTGGCAAGGATAGTGTTTCTGATACCAACCACAAACTCCTCATCTTAATATAAGTCTTTGGGTGGAAAACAAATGTGGTAAAAATGGACTTGCTAAACCAGGTGTTTGCATTGTGAGCCCATCATTGTTCACTGTATGAGTGCAAGGGGCAGCTCAGTTGGCAGGTTCTAGTTTTGTATTTGTAGAAGTTGTTAAGTGTGCTCCTGATGTAGGCTTTGTTTCATTGGTAAAGCAAAAAACCAACAAAGGGAAGTCATGATGTTTGCATCTCTCATGCTTCATTTAATTCCTATGTGGTGCTAGTGGGGGGGGGTTATTAGTACACACGTGGGCAGACACCTACGCTGTATCATGGTGTAATGCAGTACCTGAACCACCTCTTTATATGCTAATGCACTAATATGGTGCACTTTAAAGTTGTGCTGAGGAATTTATTTAGCCTTAGAAATTGTGTAGGTGCATTTTGCACATGTTGTTGGTGGGGCTGACTTGTATCACACAAAGTGCCAAGGTGACCCAGTCTTAGTGCAGTTTTTATGACAGAGTGTATGGAGTTGGCTTGATCTGCATGGAGTGATGTACTAGTTATGTAATCATAACCTTCTGGAGACTTGTGCAGTCGAGTGGTAGAGGAGGGTTGAGAGTTTACTAGAAGATGATTAGGAGAGATACTGTTCCGGTTTCCTTTTAATTGTTTTCTGTGGTTGTGTTTAGTCCATCCTTTTTGCAGCTGTTCTTCTCTGATGTGACAGGTTTTTTCTGAACTAAAACCTGGGCCATCACCACTCTTACCCTTGTTCCGAAGCAGTGCCAGTTCTAGGGTTTGTCAGAGAAGAACTAGTTTGCAATGGCTGAAGGATCTTGCTGTGATGAAAGTTGAGCATTATCCCCAGGATTAACAGAGCTCCTACTTTGGTGCCCAGTTTTTCATATAGATTAGAGGGTACCTCTGAATGAAATGTGTACTTTCCTCAGCTGTTACTGGCAGGTTGCAAGACAGGAGAGTGTTTGGACAGGAATCTCCAGACAGCTGGAGTCTGCTTACTGCTAATCGTGGCCTATGCAGACTCATTTGTACTGGATACCATTCAGACACAGCACTGTAAAAAAAGACAATTTCACTACAGACTGTACCTGCAGGGTATTAGCAGATTAGCAGTTTTCCAGAGAAGAGGCAGTACCTGCAGGTAAACGCTTGCGCAGTCACTGTGTGTGTAGAAAGGCAGTTCTTGGCTTCTGGCCTGTTCCTGGCTGTTTAACGATCACTGATTGACTGCGCTGCCTCCGTACGTACACGCTCAGCAGGTACATATACCCTGTGCGAGGATTAAGGACAAAGCCAATGCTGGCAGTGTTATGCAGCTTTAAAATAGCCTGTCAGAGGATTAATGAATTCTGGCTTGTGGCTTCTTCCTGTGCATTTGAGTAAGTATAGTACTGTTTAATAACCTAGCAAAGACCTTTAGCTTGGAAAAAAGGCAAACAACAGCCCAATGGCCTGGAGCAGCTGCACTCCTTAAAGCTATAAATTCTAACATGGGAATGTATCCAAATGGACTTTCACTGCCAATGGCTGTTTGTCCTGTATATTTTATTTTTTATGAAAAGCATGTTGTCACTTGTATTCAGGGGGAATCTGTAACTGGTGCCATGAGGCTGAGGTAGATGAAACTGGAGTGGTGGGGGAAGAGATTTTTCTTTTTTTGCATGTCAGTCCTGTCAGCCTTTGTTTGATTTCTTTTTTTAGGGAGTTTTAAGGCAGCTGATAGTGGGAAGATTCTCAAACGCTTCTCAGAGAATGAAAAGGAGTGTTTTGAACGATTGATGAAAGACCCCCTACGCTCCTGTGTCCCTTGCTTCCATGGTGTGGTGGAGAGAGATGGCGAGAGCTACATTCAGCTGGATGACTTGCTTACTGATTTTGAAGGGCCAAGCGTGATGGACTGCAAGATGGGGATCAGGTGGGGTAAATGAAAAAGAAAGTGCTTTCTAACCCATGTGCATTTGAAGGAAGGGAGAGATGTGGTCATGCTCTGTCTGGAGGAGTTGGGTAATGTTTTTGGATCCTTGGGATTCAATACAGACAACCTATTGTGGCAATCGCCTTGGACAGCCTGGGGGCAGTATGTCCTGTTATTGCCTGGTTGTACATGGATTCTGGAAACTAACTGATCTATAGCCTCAAAAACTATCCATATCAAGAAATTTTCAGGGGTGATTTAAGAAAAAGTTTCTCTGCAGTGGTCTGATAATACAAGGAAAAAACCCTACACGATTTGTTCACTGACAGTTTATTGAATCTTTCTGTATGCAGTGATTCAGAAGGCCCCACAAATAGTAAAATTCCCATGTCCAAATGCAAATGACTGAAGAGCAGCATGAGAGTCCATTTCCAGTGCTTGAATGAGTCTTCACTTGTATTGATCTTTTCTGTAAAGAGCTGTCCATCTGCTCAGGACTGACCTGTGTTTTTCCCTACTCAGGCATCTGAAGGTGTTGCTATTACCTTGTCTGTGATTAAGAGGAAAACCTTAATAATACTATCTAAGCATAACAAAGAGATAGGGATCTGATGAGAGTCTTTAATAACAGTATAGATAGGGATCTGTTGGGAGTCTGTAGTAACAGTAGAGAGGTATGAACTGTCATAGTAATCCTTTGGGTGTCAGCTCAGATGCTCAAGAGTTATTGTCATAAATGAGTTCCTCTACTTACAGGAGTGTAGGTACTCCTTTTCAAATAGATGCAAAATTTTAAATGAATTGTCAGCTAAATCAGAGTAGAAGTATGTAGCACTGGTATGCTCAGAAGAAAGAGGAGAAGGATTTGCAGCAGCACGTATTTTATTCAGAGTAGGCAACATTCTGGCAATGAGTGACAGCATCTCCTAAACGCCATCCTGATTTGTTACAATGTGATGCAGCAAGTAAGCTCCAGGCACTTGACAAAGTGCAAGCTTTAGGAATCCAGTGAAATGTAGAGAACATGGGCAGTGCCTTTCTAGCAGTTACCGGATTAACAGATTGAGTGATAAGAGCAAAATGTGGAAGGTTTGTGACCCTTCACCTTCCTGTTCTTAGTTACCTCTTCTGATTTGGAACTGTTCAGATAATCTGCTTTACTCCTTAGTTTTTACTGTGTGAAGAGTGATTCTGCCTTTCACTGTGATGAATTAAGTAAAACTTGAACTTTCTGAGGCCTAAAGAAAAGTACTCATGACTGATGTTACGGTTTTTTTTGAAGAGAGAGAAAACAGTAAGTCTTCAGAAGCCCTATTTGTTTTTAAGTGATCTCTCCTAGCTGTCCTCTGAAAATGCAATTCTGTTTCATGGCACAGTAGGAATTCATCTTTCTTCTACTCTGTAACCAGGACATAACAATAACTTGTAACAGTAAGTAAAAGTGTAGTTAGAACAAGAAATGAATGATAGTTCCCGATTCATGCAGCTGTTTCACTAAATACATCTGCACAGTCATTACTCTGTGTTCTTTAGTTTCCCCATATGCAAAACTGGAGCAATGATAACACTTACTTTTCTGGTTGATATTTTTTTAAGCCAATTTGTAAGTTGTAAAAAGAAATGTTTGGGAAGACCTTACAGTTTTGTTGGGATGGAATGTTTTTGTAGAACGTACTTGGAGGAAGAGTTGACTAAGGCACGAGAGAAACCAAAGCTGCGTAAGGACATGTACAAAAAAATGATTGAAGTGGATCCTCTTGCTCCCACGGCTGAAGAGAATGCCCAGCATGCTGTCACCAAACCCCGCTACATGCAGTGGAGGGAAACCATCAGCTCTAGCGCCAACCTGGGTTTCAGGATTGAAGGAATTAAGGTAATAGTTTCACTTCTGCTTGTTCCTGGAGACTGAACTTTGTTTGATGTGTTGATTAATCAAAAAGCTAGTGCTAGTCCAAAGGATTATGTGAAAATGCACTAACTGAAAACATAGAGTTCACTGTATTGCAGTTTTAAAGCATTCATTGTAATTATAACAGAGCAGTGTCAATGAATTTAAACTTCAAGTACACATCAGCCATACTTGAATTCACCACAGAGACTTTGCAGGAAGGACTCAAGGAGGTACACCGTATAGATAGACTGAAAATGAGACTGTTATAAGGAGGAATTCAGAACAGAAGAATTAACCGCCTCTCCCCAGGCAATTACTTTTTTTATCCAAGAACTATACATATTTATTCCAAGTGAATCACAGTAAAGTGGGTTTATTGCAGTTATGTTTATTTGCAAGGCATGTTAAAAGCATTTGCTAAGATACTCTTGGGATCGAGGAAACCGCTTTTCCTTTTAAGTACATGACGATATCCAGTATAGATGGAGCTGGAATAAAGCCAAAATAATCCAAAATAAATTTTCTCTATCAACAAAGTCCATCTGTTCTTGATGGATAAGTCTGTGCCCCTGTACCTTTCCTAGAATACTACCTTACAGCCATAGAAGAACCTTGGCAATTTTGTTTCCTACCAATTAATTCTTCATATTAAATAGAATCACAGAATCATAGAATGGCCTAGGTTGGAAGGAACCTTTAAGATCATGTAACCCCCATGCTGTGGGCAGGGACAGCTTTCACTAGACCAGGTTGCTCAGAGCTCCATCCAACCTGACCTTAAACAATTCTAGGGATGGGGTGTCCACAACTTCTCTGGGCAACCTGTTCCAGTGCCTCACTAACCTCATAGAGAGGAATTTTTTCCTACTAACTAATCTAAACCTACTCTCAGTTTGAAGCCATTCCCCTTTGTTCTATGACTATATGCTCTTGCAATAAGTCCGTCTCTATCTTATAGGCTCCCTTCAGGTACTGGTTACTCCAAAGCCTTCTCTTTTACAAGCTGGATAAACCCAATTCTTTCAGCCTTTCCTCATAGGAGAGGTGTTCCATCCCTTTAATCATCTTGGTGGCTCATCTCTGGCCTTGCTCCAACAGGTCTCTGTCCTTCCTGTGCTGGGGACCCCAGAACTAGATGCAGTATTCCGGATGGGGTCTCACCAGAGCACAGGGGCAAAATCCCCTCTGTCCATCTGCTGGCCACGCTGCTTTTGATGCAGCCCAGGATACAATTGGCTTTCTGGGCTGCAAGTGCACATTCACTGCCAGCTCACATCCAGCCTCTCACCCACCAGCACCCCCAAGTCCTTCTTGGCAGGACTGCTCTTCATCTGTTCATCCCCCAGCCTGAATTGATACCACAGGTTGCCCTGACCCAAGTACAGCACCTTGCACTTAAACTACATGAGATTCCCATGGGCCCACTTCTCAAGCCTGTCCAGGTCCCTCAGGGTGGCATCCTGTCCTTCAGGTGTGTCAACCACACCACTCAGCTTGGTGTTATCTGCAAATTTGTTGAGGATGCACTCGATCCCTTTGTCTATGTTCTTAATGAAGATATTAAATGACACTGGTCACAATACAGACTCCTGAGGGCCATCAGTTGTCACTGATGTCCACTGGGACTTTGAGCCATTGACCAATACCCTCTGGATGCAACTGTCCAACCACTTTCTTATCTACCTAACAGTCCACTTCTCAAATCCATCTCTCTCCAATTTGGAGAGAAAGGTGTTGTGGGGGACTGTGTCAAAGGCTTTACAGAAGTCCAGATAAATGACATCTGCAACCCTTCCTTTGTCCACTGATGTAGTCACTCCATCATAGAAGGCCACTAGGTTGGTCAGGCAGGACTTGCCCTTGATGAAGCTGTGCTGGCTGTTTTGAATCACCTCCCTGTCCTCCATGTGTTGTGTTCCATGGCAATGTCAGATACCTACCAGAAGCCTACTCTCAGAATATCACCCTGACTCAGTTACTTGAATGTTAGCACTTACTGGAATCTGTAAGCGTGCTTTTTGTCACAGCCAGCCTTAAACTAGTTTGCTTGGGTTTAGATGGAGGTGTACTTGTAGCAGCAGAGAGCATGGTGAGGGCTGTCCAAACCCACTTACACCCTGGGTGAGTACTTTTTACCTGGAACCCATGACACGACAGCAGTAAAGAAGTTAGTGTGGGTTACCCTGTGTGATGTCAGGATGTTCCCAGACTATACACATTTAATTTAGGTCAATTAGGACATTGTAAATTATAACCTGGATTAGTTTTGCTTCCATTGCACAATTCAAGCACATAGAAATAAGAAAGGCATAAAAGAGGGTGATTCTGATGGACAGAGGCTCTTTAAATACCCCCTTCTTCTCTGCTTCCCTGTGTTGTCTTATCCCTTCATTATTCACAGATTCTCCTGCTGTGATACAGGAACTGGGGCTTCCAACTCATGGTGTGTTGGCCCTCTGTACGCTGTGCCACCCACTCCTGGCTGTTAGACACAGTCATCATCATGCAGGAACTGTCTGGGTGGTAGATGATCTGGCTCCAGTCCAGCCAAGACACAGGATCTTGTCTTACCCTTTAGCCAACTAACAATGTTATCAAGATGCTTGTTTTATTCCTATACCACTTAGGTTTTTGTATGCTCTCTGTAATGGAATTAGAAACCCAGATGATCTTGGGATCTTTAATGTAGGTTCTTGGAAAGATAGTTGATCAGTGTACATGTACAGACTTATGTTGAATCCTGGAGAGTGACTGAGCTAAGGGAGCACAGCGGAGCTTCCAAATGTCTCCTGGCTTGTTCTTTATGGTTTTGTTGGTTGTCAGAGATGGGTAGGAGCAGTATGGCACAAGACTGTGTAATATTTCCCTCTGCAGAGACGATGCTGTAACTGTGCAAAACATGAATACTTAATCCTTGATTAAGCACAGGAAATGCTTTGGAGTACTTCATTACATTACCTTTCCCTCTGTCTCCCTGTGCTGTTATGAGGAATGTAGGTATCATTCTCTTAATTTTTTTTACATGGAGAAGTGGTGGCAGAAAGTGAATTGTTCAAGCAATACAGCTCGTCAGTACTCCTTACACTGTTTCACTGCAGCTGAACTGTATATCCAGTTCTGTATATTTGCAGAAAAGGAAAGCCATTCTGCAGGGATCCCTATTTTGGGAGGAGAGCCTATAAGAGTCAGTGGTGCCAGCTGGTGGTTGTTGGGGAAAAGGGGATGTTCTCCCTGATCTCAGTGGTAACTCCTGGAGTTAGCTGAGAAGATATGTTGGGTTTGGTCATTCAGAAATATTCCTGCTCTGTGGCTGCTTGAGTAAGAAGCAGAACCAAAGAAAGTGAAATCATATAAGCCCTTTTGTGAAGTGGCTGCCAATAAATGAGATCTTATTCACCGTATACACTCCTCCATCAGTGGAGTACCTTTTCTCTTTAGGTTGAACAGCCTCTTTTCCTTGTCTTGCTTCCATATCTCTGAAATCAAGTGAGGTTCATTTATGGGATTTGTCACTTTTCCTCCTATCAAAAATAATTCAAACCATTTGGTTTCCCTACAGCTGGAACATGACACAAGACATGCTATCTTGTGCCTGCCAGATTCCAAATGCATGTTTCCTCTCTGGCAGGACCTGTCTGAAGGCTAGGCATCAGAAACATTTTCTCTACAATATGGAGCTAATAGTTTTGCAGAGTAGAGATTCGTGGGGCCAAGAACTGGGATTTCTGGCTTCCCATTCTATCACTGAATGTCAGTGCACTTTGAAAAGTTACTTCTTCCTTTGGTACCATTCCTTTAGCCATAGATCAGGGATAGCCATATTCCCAGGAGGACATCAGATATGATTCATAAATCTTTGTGTATCCATTAAGGTAAGCGAGAGTCCTTTAAGGGAAGTCTGTGGAGGACTCTAAGCAAGACCACATGGGTTAAGATAGGTAACACTACTTTATGGAACTGTGAAACCTGCCCTTCTGCTAGCTGTGCCACTGGCACATGCAATGAGAAGTGTCGCAAGTGACCCACGAGCTGCACTGTGTGATGGGCTGCTCTGCTGTGCAGGAATGTATGTGGAGTCCTTGACAAAGGTATGACTTCCAGGAGTGGGTCAGGCAGGTGCCTCCTGAGGCTCAGGTACATCCAGAGGTGTTGCAGAGCCCTGGTTTAGAATACTGGTACCATTCACAATCTGGATGTTGTTTACAATAAGACAGGCAGCAGTTATGTTTCCTGCCAACCACTGGAAAGGAGCAAAATCATAGCAGTGTTTCTTAACCACAGGGAAGCAAGCAACTAGTCCGTTCAGACAAAAAAAAAAAGGATGAAAAGGGAACACAGAGCAGCGATTCCAGACTGGGATTTGTGGCATAGGGAGAAATTATTTTTAAAATATCTTACTCCAGTGAAGAGGTACGAGGCATCAGATGAAGTTCCAAATTTCAGTGTGCTGTTGAATATTATCATACATCAGATCAGATGGCTCCTAACTTTCACTGCCTACCTGCTGAACTGCTCTTGCATAACTTGCACATCTCATCAGGCTGACATGCCACACTTGTATCTGGCCCACAGCCTTGGAATAAAATTCTGTTTATTCTGCTGCTAGAAAGTCTGGTAGGTGGGAGGCAGTTCTGCATGGCTCTGCCATTCGGTTAATTCATTCTCTTGCATGAGAGATCTGGAATTATAGCATTATTGAAATTTTTTCATGTATACGTTAGAAGCCAAGTTCAGCTGTGGAATAAATAGTGTTTCACCTGCTGAGACTGGGGCTGAATTTATCCAGTTTTGATACAGTGACTTAATATGTAGGAGAGAACACATTTTGATGACCTGCTGATTTGCTCTTATAATGAAAATGAGGGATTTTCTGATACAGTGGAGAGGAAAACAGTTTGATAATCCTTCAGGGTTTCAGTGGATTTTTATTACCAACTGTAGTAATTGCCGTATCTTACACGATTGTCCTAAAATCTCCTCTTGGTGTCTCTTGAAGCAGCAGGGATGCTGCTGGAGACTTGCATATTCATATAGTCTATGTTGACAGATACCTCTGATTCATGCACTGCTCTTATTTACTTTTAATTCCAGAAGCACAAACTGGTCAGTACCAGCACATAAAAAGACTTGTTTTTTTTCAGTAGCAGGATACTTCTGTACTGAGCCTTACTGCTAGCACAAAAATACTCTGAATTTCTCCAGGACCCACGTGGAACAGGCATGCCTACACGGTCCTTTGTCAAAATTCACTTTGTCTCTGCTAGCATTGCAAATCCCAAGTTGTTCCTGTCTGCAACTAGATTTCCGTTCTGTGACTTCTAGGTTACATTAATGTTCAAAGGTATGTTGGGAACTGAGTCCTAACTGCGATTCTTTGATTTCCCCATTAATAAACAGAAATAGCAATAAAAACAAAACCCACAAAACAACAACAAAAAACCCTCACCAAATAGAAAAAAAAAGGACTAGTAAAATTGGACATGGAAATGTTCCCTTACACTCTCAGCCAGGGTTTCACTACATCTAGGTAGACAAGAGGACAACCAAAGAGGTCACTGTGGTTTACCCCACTGAACTTTGCACTGCTAGCACTGACATGTGAGAAAACCCTCCTGCAAGCTTGTAATATCACGAGGTTTGTTTTTATTTTCTTGTACTCAACAGGAAATGAAGTGCCAGTGCCATTTAAAGTTATCCAATCAGCTTTTGTATCTCTTCTCCTCTACTTCTTTCTTGGTTTATCTGTTCTCTTCCTGTTCAACTACTCACTTTCATCTGGTTAGCAAGAGCTAAGCTGTTGATGGTTCAAGAGGATTGACTGATGAAGGGAATGATATGCGTGTGGTATAAATCATCTCTGTGTGGTTTTGTGCAGAAGGCGGATGGAACATGTAACACAAACTTCAAAACTACGAAGACACAGGAGCAAGTTCTACAGGTTTTTGTGGAATTCATTGAGGGCAACACAACTATTCTGGTGAGTTTGAACTCTTCAGGTTATCTGATCTTGGACCCAATGAACTTGCTTCAGGGCCATGCTTTCTTTGGTACATGAAATAGGACTTAGACTACCAAGGAAGTAAATGGTTTTGACTTCAGTTGCTCTCAGGACATGGAGTGGACATGCGAACTTGGTGGGCTGTGAGAAGTAGTTGACTGAGACTAATTCTATCAGCTCGTGTCATGAGTTCACCCCAAATACCTTGTGGTAGCAAAATGTCATTCAGACTAACTTGCCATCAGCTTCGACCACGTGTGTCAATTGCATCAGAGGGATGATGATATCTAAGCAAGGACTGTGTTGGCAGGAAAACCTGTGATTTGAGAATTCAGTCTGGGGAGGATAAAAACAGAGCATAGAGGCAGGAAGTGGGATTGGTGACTGGCTGTGCTCACATGTATGAAATTCATCTCAAAGAGCAATTCCTGTATGCTACTTCATGGGTAGCACAGCAGGCGTGTGTTAGATGGCATAACGCATCTCTTGTCTTTGAAACTTCAAAGGATACCATAGTGTTTTGCTGCAATGTGGAAGCCATTATGGAGGCAGATTAGCCCTCTAGGAGGAGCAAGGTAACACGGGGCAGCATTAAAAATGTGCACTAGAGCTTTATACATTAGGCATTGATTCTTTTTATCCCCACCACTGCCCCCACCATGGTTGAAGCTCCTTGTCTCTCTAACACACTTTCATTCTCTTTTCACTGTAGATGAAAGATTTTTAACTGCTTGAAACATTTTTCTCTTTATTAAGAAGGAAAAAAAAAACACATGCAGAAAGCCTCACTGCATCCAAATCAAGACAGATAAGTATATTTGGTGTAACACATGCAGCAGAGGAACCGCAGTCCATTCATTCACTATGAAAGCTTGCTGAAATGTATTTTCAGATTGACTTTCAAATGATGAACCTGTTGTTTTGAAGGACCTCTAGCCTAAAAGTAATATGGTCTCTTCATTATACTGACTCTTGCAGATAGAGTATCTTTATTCAGTCTTCAGTTAAATGTTTATGAGTTGTTTGGATTTTTTTCTCTTCTTCCTCTAGAAAAAATACCTCAAGCGTCTGCAGGAAATTAATGTCATTCTTGAATCCTCAGACTTCTTCAAGCGACATGAGGTGAGCAGTGAGTGTAATGTTGTGGAGGTGCATTGCTTCTTCATTTGGTCATTCAGATGTACTTAAGAATAGCCTACTGTATGAGTAGAAAGGAGTTTGTAGAACAAAACTAATGTATGTTAACGACACAAATACCACAAAGCCTTGATCACAATCATACAGAAGATTAAACTAGTCAAGAAATAGTAAATCCTCCCATCTTTATAATATCACAGCACTTGGAACTCTGGACCACTGCACAGAGTGGTTTATTAGTACTGGTTTCCTGCAGTTTCTCTAGTCTTGGTGTCTTCCAGTGGGAATCTTTACAGGGGAATGGCAGTGTGGAATTTTGCATTTGGTACAATGGCATTGTTGTAGTTTGACAATGAGGGCTGTATTAGTTATAATGGATTTACAATGAAATACTGTATAATTCTGCTTTAGATGTTCTCCCTGCTGTGCTTTGCTGTGCAGAAGGCATCATTAGCATTGTAAGTTCTGCTTGTTACAGCTCCAGATTATGAGATTAGACATTTTATTTTACCTTGTTGATGTCCTCTTATCACTGGAGATATTTTTGTTAATCATGGGTCATAATCTGTCTTTGAAAATAGTCACTGGCCTTGCTGAATTGCTCA